TCTTCTGTCAACCTTAGTCATTATCCGGCTCTCTGATGCATAGCAAATAATTGCAAACACCATGGCTTGGATCAGGTGCACCTTAATCTTTAGACTGTTGGTTTTTAGCACTCTGAAGAGGTCTCTGACAGCAAATTTTCCTAATACAACTCATCTCTTGATTTCCTGAGTACCAGTACCATGGGTGTTGACCGTGGAACCAAACAAGCTGAAATTGTTATCAATTTCAATCTCTTCCCCATATATCATGGTTCTTTCAGTGGTGAGAATCTTTGTCTTCTTTTTTAAAAAATTTTGTTTTTTAGGGGAGCTCTGGTGGCCTAGTGGCAAGAAGCTGCACTGCAATCCCAGAGGTATGCGGTTTTCGAATCCACCAGATGCTCTGCGGGAGAAGGAGGGGCAATCTCCTCCCGTACCAGTCAGATCCAATTTGATGGTACACACACACAAAAAAATAATAAAAGAAAATTAAAAAAAATTTTTGTTTTTTGTGTGTGTACCAGTCAAATCCTGACTGGTACAGAAGGAGATTGCCCCACTTCTCCAGCAGAGCATCTGGTGGATTCGAACCACATACCTCTGGGATTACAGTGTCACTTCTTGTGAATCTTTTGTCTTCTTGATGTTGAGTTTCAATCTCTACTGAACAATGCAGTCCTTGTTCTTCTGCAGCAAATGTTTCAAGCCCTCAGTTTTGGCAAAGCAAGGTTGTGTCATCTGTGTAACAGATTATTGATGAGTCTTTCTCTAATCTTAATGCCACGTTTCTCTTAATAAAGTCCAGCTTCCTGAATGATCTGTTCAGCATATTGGTTGAAAAGTTATGGAGACAGGATGCATCCCTGATGCACTCCATCACAGACACTTTGTTATCCTGGTTAGGAAAAGATGCTGTTTCTCAAAGACTTAGAAGATTAGAAATAGAATCTGACTTTCAAATTTTAGGAGATATCTTTGATTTCCTAGTGTTCACTGGACTTCTACCATGATGAGTCCTCTTCTGCAATGAAAAGTCTTTCTAGATGAGATGCCATAGCTTCTAGACTCTCTCCTGTTGTCTGTCTCTTTTAACACCCCATTCCCTGTAATAGGCAGTGGAGAGGCCAGATGCGGAAAAGAAAGTACTTTAGGATCTCAGATGATTATATTGTTGTTAGGTGCCAAGTTAAGTACAATTTATTGTGACCTTGTGAACAATAAATCGGAGCCTTTTTCTATCCTGTGTATTGAAAATCTGATGTCAGGGACCTGACAAAGTATTGAGAAGCAATGATATCAGTTTAATGACGAAGATGTGCCTGATTCAGGTCATGGTCTTTTCAATCACTGTGCATCTGAGATCTGACAAAGAATATGGATAACAGAAGAAGAATTTATATCTTTGAGTTATGGTGGTGTAGAAGAGTACAGGGTATCTGAAAAAAAGAGTACTGAATATCTCATGGACTGCCCAAAGAACAAATAGGTGTATCTTGGAGAAAGTTCACTAACAGTGCTCCTTAGAGGCAAGGACGGCAAAGCTTCATCTCACATACTTTGGGCATGTTGTTGAGAGGGGCTATTTTTTGAAAAGGGACATCATGGTGGAGGATCATCGAAAGAGAGGAAGACCTTCAACGAGATGGATCGACATAGCGGTTGCAGCCATGGGTTCAAGTGTGTCAGAGATGATGAGAACGGCACAGGGTCGGACAGGGATGATGACAGTATGGTCCTGGAAATCAGCAGTCTTCGGCTCTAAAATATCCTAGGTATTTCTGATAGTTGTACTTGACATCCAAAAGAAATGTGAATGTCAATTATTCCCAAGATCCCACAAGATGTACACATAAGTAAGCGGAAGAATCTCATGTTTATATCTACTGACCAAAAAAGTCTGTGATGGTCTGAAACAAAGAACGCATGATGTCACATGAGAAGACATGTGATCATTACCAAAACAGCCAGAGGAGAGAAACAGAACCAAGCCTGGTCAGGTCCTCTAAGGCTGGAGAGTCAGGTCCTCTAAGGCTCCCTGGGGCAGCTAACCTCATCCTAGCTCCATCTGGGCAGTTTCTCTTCTGAAATCTCTCCAAGAACCAAGTTACATGGATGCCTATTGACCCTCTTTCAGAGTGCACCCTGGGAGCTCAGTCTTGGCATTTTACCTGGCCACGTTCACCTGTGGTGCCCTGGTGGCATAGTGCATAATGCATCATTGGGCTGCTAACTGGAAGGTTGGCAGTTTGAACACACCTGTGCGCTCTGCAGAAGAAAGAGAGAAGTCGTCTTCTCCTGTACAACTTATAGTCTCCAAAACCTGCTGGAAGGTCACCTGATGGAGCTGGAGCCAATTTGGTAGCTGGGAGGGCTTTTTTGTTTGTTGCTCTGTGTTCACTTGGATGAATCAGTCTTGAATGATTAGGATATTCTCTCTCATTCTTGGGCTTTAGCTATAGTTTATGGGGCTTCAGTAAGTAATCCTGAAGTTGGTACACATACTGCTGTGTGTACACTCACCCACCCCCTCCAGCCCACGGATACACGCACACCACGCTGCCACCAGCTGCTCTACACGCCCCCACTTATTCTCACAGCCCCCTGAGGCCTCCAGGGAGTCACCAACATACAGTGTCTGTTATCTGGGGAAGGCCTTGGCAGGGTGCCCAGGGATGGGTTGCTGGAAACCTTAACCAAGCAGAGACGGTTAACAGCTGCAGGGACACCTTAGGGAACGTGACCCTTACGAATACATAAAGAATCTTTGGCCATGACTTTTTAACACTTTTTAACAAATCATATATAATGCCCTGCCCCAGAAACAAAAACAAAAAACCCACCAGCTATCACAGACATCCTTCGACCCACTAGAGTGCTCAGTGTTTACTCTTCCAGACAGACTTTGATAAACATAGATGCTCACTTCACACAGACACTCAGGAACAGATCACGAAGACCTGGGAGCATGAGCGTGCACACATGCCTCTCTCTTCCTCAAACACATTACACAGATATCTTAGTGGGCAGCTTCTGTGGGTTGGGGGTCTCTGCTAAACATCACAAAATAAAAACTGTTAGTTTGAGAGAAAGCTCTCTTTCCCCTTCCGTTTACCTCTCCACAGCTGCAGAGGGGGTTGCTGGGGGCGTGGATGTCACACACTGGGGTGGGGGTTTCCCCACCCCTACCCCTTGTCGTGCACAAAGCCCCACCTTATGCCCAGAAGTAGGCCTTTTTAGAGTTCTTTATGCTTCTGAAAGTTGGACAATGAATACAGACGCCAGACTTGATGCCTTTGAGTGTGGTGGTGGTGGAGTGGAGCCTGGACTGCTGAAAGAGCAAACAGTCTGTCTGGAGGAAGGGTATCCAAGGTTCTGCTTAGAGAGACGAGGATGGTGAAACGTTGTCTCATACTTTGCGCATCTGATGTTAGACGGGATCAGGGATCAGTCCTTAGAAAAAAGATATCATACTGGGCAAGATTGAGGGTCACATAATGATAGGAAGACACTCAAGATGGATGGACGCAGTGACTGTAACAGTGGGCTTGAACATATCCGAAATTGTGAAAGGGGGCAGAGTGGTGCAAGGCTCAGATCTGCTGTTTATAAGGTCGCTATGAGGAGTAGTTGACTTGATGGCACCCCACACCAACAACAGAGGAGTAGAAGAATGGTGGGGAGCATCTCCATCAGCATTCTCCCTCTGTGGTTGTCTCTCTGTCCTCCATCAGCCAAACCCTTCCCTTCTACAAGTGCCTCTTGGCCACTGGGTCCTTCTCAGAGCTGAGTGTGAGAGGACAATGTTGAGAGTGTGTTTCAAGGAAGAGCTTTACTAGGAAACTAAGAGGAAAACCAAAAGCAAAACCAAGAACATACAACTCTTGGTTGGACCAGAGTCTGCACCCTCAGTTCCCAGCTTAGTTTCACCTCTGTTAGGAATCTGCAGCCTTTCTTCATCTCTGGACAACATCTTGTTCCCCACTGATGCCATCCACCCTAATGGGTGCATAGGAGATTTGCTTCTTCAGCATACAATCTGGAAGGCTGCTGTGCTGAGCTCCCAGTGGGGTCCCTCATTATCACCCCAGCCCCTGCCTACTCTCAGGCCTCTGCTTCCTGGCCCCACCTTCTGGATCCTGCACAATAGTTCGGCTGCAGCAGCGTGAGAGGATGTCATGAGGCTGGCAGGGGCAGGATGGGGGCAGGAAGGGGTTGATTTGTTACTGGGGTGGCAGGGCAAGGCTATGAACTCTTGGGTGTTTTTAGAGGAGAAACCACTTAGTTCCAGGCCCCCTGCATCCTCTGGAAGGATCTCAGCATTACCAGAAAAGGCCTGTGAGTAAGAACTTCCCTGTGGAGGGGAGGGGGGTGGTTTCTCACCAGCAAGATGGAAGGTGGGCAGTTAATGTGCCCTGGAAGCCCCAAACTATTGGGGAGGTGAGCTCCACCCCATCAAGAAACTCCTTTCTAGGAACCCCTATCTGATGGAAACTCCAGGATGGTAGGGATCCAGGGGCTCCTGGTCTAATGGAGACAATAAGGTCCTACCCTAGAGCAGGGACTCAGCTTCTGGGGGCCAGTTGGGCACAAATAATTCTGACTCCACAGGTCTCGGTGGACTGGACAGTCAGGAAGGGAGGAGGCAATTAAAGCAGCAGATCAGGAGCCCAGCATTGCCAAAGTGGGTCTGAGATACATGAAAGGAGAAAGAATAGGATATGGTCAGGCCAAAATAGAGGCTTGGACTCCCAGACCCTACCCCCACGCTCTGGACCTCAGTTTCCCCTGCTCTGTGCCCCCTGGCCTGGGCTAAGGGATGTCTTCTGCTTCATTGAATCCATCTGGTGAGGACTTGCTCACATCTTCCTCTTTTGTGACTGGAAGTCACAGGGCAAAGTTATCAACTGTTCAGTCACAGAGATAACACAAAGCATCCGAGTACGGACAGAAGAGTAGCAAGCGAGCTCGGGGCCAGTGGACTAGAAGGTGGGAGACAGGTGGGTGCAGAGGCCCTCAGGACCATGGCTGAAGCCATCACCTATGCTGACCTGAGGTTCGTGAAGGCGCCTTTGAAGAAGAGCATCTCCACCTGGCTAGGACAGGGTAAGAAGGGTGGGCCAGCTTCCTCAACTTTGTCTGTATCCCTCCTTCCTTCAAGACTCTTCCACACCTGATTCCCATCATGGTCCCTTTTTACTCCTCTCCAGACTCAGAGGCTTATGAGGATGGGGAACTCACCTATGAGAATGTGCAAGTGCCCTCGGCTCCAGAGGGGCCAGTGGGTATGGCTCCCCCTGGATTAGAGAACAAAACAGGTACCCCACACCTAGGAATTGAATGTGGGAGCTGTGTCTGTAGCAGGAGAACTAGGTGAATGGGCAGAGAATCAAGATGTCAGGGTCAAGGTGGGGGAGCCGGTGGGGAAGTGAGGGCTCAGGGGCAGGGCAGCCCTGTGGGGAAATGCGTTCTGGTGGGCGTTATGGGGGAGGTGAGAAGGTACAGGAGAAGGATGGGAGGAATTCTATGGAGAGAGTATGGGGTGGGCAGAGAAAGTGGCCCTGAAGTAGGTGAAAAGGAGGCTCAGGGAGAGACGAGAGGTACCCAGAGAAAAGATAAGGCCAGAGTCAAGAGGGACAGTCCCTGCAAAGATGAGCAACTCTGGCGGGTGAAGGGGGTGCCCTGGGGCTCCGGCTGCGGATGGGAGTGGGTGGAGGGGAGGGGAAGAAGGGCCCAGCGCCGCCCACCAGCTCGCTAGAGCCTCTGCTACCTGCAGGGGTCAAGCCGGAGCCACCACCTGCGGCCTGGAGCTCCGTGACGTCAGCTGCCGCCGGGCGGGTCATCCCCCGTGAGTGGCGTCTGTCCCCCACGCGCGTGACTTCGCTTGGCCGCCTGAGGCCTTTTCCCCCGCGGGGGCGTCTCCCAGCCGCTGTGACATCCGGCCGGCGAGGGTGGCTGTGGAGCGGCGGACGCACGTGGGCCGCTAGTGGGGGCGGCTGGGCTGCAAGCCTGGTTGGGAGGACCCTCGGGACGCAGCCCTCCCGGAGCCTTGGCGTCCCCCCACATCTCCAGTCCCTTTTCACCCATTCCTGATCTCCCATTCCCTTATGTGGGCCCAGACTGCTCAGCGACTCTAATTCATACCGCCCTCCACCCACCCTGTCTGACAAGCCCCGGCTTTGTTCTGAACACTCCCTCCCTGTCTACGAATCATTCCCTCAACCCTACAAACCTGCCTTAACCCCCCTCAGCCGTACACTGCTGTTAGGAGTGCTTGTGAGTCCCCCCTCCCAACTCCCCAGGCTATAAATTCCCTCCTGACTGCCCCCTCATCCCACTTGTTCCCCAAGGTTGTGCAGCCTACACGTGGTACCTCCTCCTCGGCCTGGTCCTCACCTGCCTGCTATTAGGGGTGGCCGCCATCTGCCTGGGAGTTCGCTGTGAGTCTGCTTGTCCCCCACTTTCCTCCCAGGCAACCTTTTCCTGTTCCCTTCACAGCCACCCTTCCTCAGCAGGGCGCACGGTCGTTCCCATAAACCCTTAGCTTTTGGCCTGGTTTCCAGCCAAGCCTATTTTAAAACGCCTATCCTCCTCAGTTGTCCTTACCCTACCCAGTACCTCCTTAAGCTTTAAGCAGTCAGACCTTACATTTCAGCTCTTTGTGCATAAGAAGCATTAAGAGGGCTGATTTTGAAGCCTTGAGACTCGGGCACGTCTGGTGAAACTGCCCTCCAAATAATTTTTTATCATCAAATTATGACCAAACAGACCTGCAGGTGTCTCAGCAGCTCGGACAAACAGACAGTTTTCTGGAATTTACTAATAGCAGCCTCCACAGGCAGCTCTACCTAAAGATAACCCAGCTGGGGCACAGGGAAGAGGAGCTGCGGGGGTCGAGGGAGAAGCTGACCCAGAATGAGAAAGCGCTGCAGGTGGAACAAGGGCTTCGCCAGTCCACTGAAAAGCAATTACAGGCCTGTGAGTCTGAAAGGGAGAAAACACAGGAGACTTTGCGAAGGGAGGAGGATCAGAGGAGCAACTTGGAGCAGAGGATCAGCAGCATGCAGAACACACTGAAGACTATCTTCCAATGTTCCCCACCAGGTATCTGCTCTGGGGAGAGCTGGGAGGGATCTGTGGCAAGGATGGATTTTAAGAGAGGAGATATGAATGGTGGAGCTAGGTCTGTGTATGCTGGGTCAATGAGCTGTTGGAGAAATGGAGTAGTAGACCCCAGAGTGGTGGCTGACATGACCTTTACAGGAAGAAGGCTGAGACTGTGCACTGGACTGGGGGGGAATCATGCCAATCTGAGGCAGACCCTATAGGGGAGGGGAGTGTGGCAGCCAGCAATCCACCACACTGTGCAACACAACATGATGATACTCCTGGTTAATCTGGTATGACCTTTGTGTCAGGGAATCTTCCGTTTTTGGATGTGAAATTGGTTGGTTGCAAAATTCTTTTTATAAGCTTCAGAAGGTTAGAAAACTTTTTTCTTGCAGGTTTTCCTAAAGATAGGTTTATTTATTTAATTAAAGCTTAAAGACACTGCTTTAATTAGATTATCCATCCTTGTATGAACAGTGCTCAGGCCTTTCGTTCATAGGGTTGCTATGAGTCATGGCACCTAACAACAATCCTTGTTATGTACCATTGAGGGATAAGCATCTCGATAGAGTATAAACTGTTGAGGGAAGGGCATTCTCACACATGTATGTGACTCCCAGTGATCTGAGTGGGGAATCCATCTATTTTGAAAATGGGAACACAGTCCCTAAGGATGTGAGAGGAGGATATACGAGGCAAGGCTGTGCCAAAGCAGACTTAGCATTTCCTCTCATTGTCATTGAGTCAGAGAATCAACTTTCAGTTGGGCCCAGGTGGGGTTTTCAGAGGCTGTAAATAACACTGGAGGAGACTGCCCATCCTTTCCCTGACTGAGGGGCCAGTTATGGATTTGAACCACCTGAGGGGAACCCTTTAGTGCAACTCCCTACAGACTATGCCACCAGAGCTCCCTAATTGAGTGACTTATCCAAAATCAGTGCTGAGACCTAAGCTGGGCAGTGATGTCACCCTCTGTTTTTTAGAAATCTGCTGCCCTGTAGGATGGCTTCTGAGGAGAGAAAGATGCTTTTATTTTTCACCTACTCAGAGAACTTGGGAAGACAGCCGAAAATATTGTCAGTCTTTGTCCTCTGACCTGGCCGTATTCAAAGATGTTAACTATTACCAAGTAAGGATACCCTTACCCACCAACTGTATTGGGTTTATTAGATGAAGTATGGATTATGTGGCAGTGCACATCTGGCATGCATACAAAGCTTCCCCTTCCTCGTCTATGTAGATATTGATAATCTATCATGATACTTTTTACTTCTGAACTTGCAAATAGCTTGTGCTTCTCAACACAGTGCTCCAGGTGGCTCTACTAACTGACAAGTAATTGGCATGAGAGTTGAAATGAGTCAACAGTCTCGAAACTGTTTCTCATCCTTCTGGTCAGCTCTACTTTTAAGGGCTATTTAACAGTGTTACAAGTGTCTTAGGCTCTCATGGCCTCTCAATAAAAGATATCCATACTTGGTGGACTGAATTTTAGGGATTCCCTGTGACCAGAAAAGCCCACCATATAACCCCTTTACCAAGGGTGGCAGAGATTCTCCTCTAACTAGGTGGTGAATCAAAGGGTGAACCTACTCCTGTATGTAAATATTTGAAAAACACAGGGACAAACTTTTTTACCAAAACTCATAGGCATCCTTAGTGTTCATTTTCTTTCTCATTACTCTCCACATACCTTGTCTGAATCTTTCCCCTAGGCAGTCTCCAGAGAAACCATACGTCAGATTTTGCCATCACGTGATGATTCAGGTTGGGTTGGCCTCTATGTCAATAAGAATTGGCAGTGGATTGATAACACATCATACTTGGAGTAAGTTTGCTAGACTTTTTGTGTATTTTCAACTCCATGTTCCCGTCCTAGAGGTATAATAGAGATTTCCTCACCGAGTCCTATTTTGGAAGCAGTAACTGATCTTTTATCCATTTCTTTGACTAGTAACTGGAGCAATCTTGTGCTTTATTCTATCCCTGACACCTAGTAGTCCCTGGCATATAGAGTTTTTTTTGTAGTAAGTTAGAACCTATGCCATCTTTTTCTTCTCTTAGAAACTGACGAGTTAGCCAGAGTTTCCCAGCTGATGATGAACTTTGACACCTATCCTCTCTATCCCTTGACAAAACTGCCTGAGATTGTAGTTTCTCCCTTGGGGCCACACTGGGTACTAAGGCTGCCCGGAGAAAGTGAATAAGAGAACCTTAAGAGGACCAAATTCAGTGACCCTGAGGCAGAGTGGTGGTCATTTCTTAGGTTCTCTAGCAAGTTTTTAAGATTTTGGGTGACTTTCCCCTTCCTAGTCCTAAAGCCTCTCTGGTTGAAGTCTAGCCATTGGTCTGTGAGGCACACTCAGGTGTGGTCTGAGTCTGGGCAGTGGGATTAGGGCAATTAGGATGTGGGTTAAGATTTATGCAAGAGCAAGTGGTGGAAGGATGGGAAAGAAGGGCCAGAGCTGACTCTAGTTCTACTGTACCAGTTACAGCAGTTATAGCAGTTACAGCAGTTACGGTTTTTCCAAACGAAGCCCACCATGTGCTAAGATACAATCTAATTGGCCAGAACTGCAGCCAGAGAAGTGTTCAACTCCACTCCCCTGCATCTGTGAGATGGCAGCCTTCAGGCATCCACATAGGGACTTTTTGCACTTTTGAGGTGGGTAAGTACAAAGGATGGGGATGAGGTAGGGAGAACTCAGGGAAGAGGGGTAAAGAGAAGGGTCTCCGACATCAGAGGGTAACCTGGTTCCTGAGAATGACAGTTCACGGCCTCCAGAGACCTGGTCGGCTATGTAAAGAAGGGCTGGGCAGGGAGATGGGTAAGGCCTGCCACTGAAGGGAGGTGGGTGATGTGACTGTCCAGGGGCCTGGGAAGGAGATAAGGTAAAGTGGTTTGGAACTCTTAGTTGTCAGCTGTGGAGCTCACTGCTGTTTCATTCTTCCAGATACACCAACAAGAGCCCCTCATTCCCAACCTCTGGCCTATGGATCTGTGATGACCTCCATTCAGTTTTCCCTCAGTGTGCCTAGCCAAGGATTGACCCATGTCTGAGACTTCTTCCAGCCAGCCTGTTGCCTGCTTGAAACCCTGTCCCAGAAACAGGACTGTTCTAGTCAAGAAGCCACTAGAAGGGACTTTGGCCTCCCCAAGAACCTCCCACAGCAAAGTGGACATGGGGTGGAGGGCGCATGGGCTGAGTGGATAGGGGCAGCCCGGAGCCAGCCAGGCAATTTTATTGAAATACTTTTAAATAGTTTGCACGTGGTGTTAGTCTCGTGTGTCCGCAATGCTGTGTCTGGTTCAGGGATCCCCACGGGAGAGAGAGCCCAGGGACTTGGACAAGACAAGAAGTGCTCGATCTCTTGAGTCCAAACTCAGACTCCCCTGTATCGGGAGAAGGGCTAGTCGCCCATTTGGGGTTGGCACTGTCCAGCATTTGTACTCTGTCCTCACAAAGTGTCCTGAAGTCCAAGTTGGAGACCTGAGACCACAGGCCCCATTGCTAAGAGCGTGCCCCAGGCAGCTTCAGACTGGGTGTGGGTGGCTTGGCATGGTGCCCTCGGTGGCAGAGGAGACTGCCGGCCTCACAGTTCAGGTTGCGGTAGCGGGCAACAGCTGGTGTGGGGCGGGGGCACATGGACAGGAAGCCAAAGCTGAAGGGGCCGAGGCAACAGCCAGGACAGGGCAGCCCCTCATCAGGCTCCCGGGGTGCTGAAGGAGGTGGCGAAGGTTCTGTCCGTTCCAGAGCTGCCGCCCGGGGCAGGCTATGCTGAGCCCTGTTCCAGGGCTCCCCAGCCCAGCCTTGTGGAGAGTTTACTACTACAGCTGGTGGGTTGTTATTGAGGGGAAGTCCTGATCGGGGAGACCAGGGTTGAGAGGCAGAGGAACACGTGCTGATGAAGTTGTCTGTGGCCACGGCTAAAGGCAGCTGAGGAGCTGGTCCTGGGGGTTCTGGCTCAGGGCTGCTGCCCTCACACTCCATACTTTCTTCAGTCGAGGGGCCTGTAGGGGGAGGGCCAAGACCTGGCAGTGCTGTTTCCATACGTCGGGGGAGCTCAGGAGATGAGGGCAAGGAGCGGCAGCGGCGGGCAGGTGTCCCAGGCTGGATCACGATCTCTGGAGTAGTCACCAAGGGCGGGTGGGTAGAGGTCAGTGGTGATGGTGGTACAAGGGGCAGAGGGGTGACTGGCTTGCTGGGTGTGTCCAGAAGCTTGATCTTGCCACCCCTGAGGTCTTCCCGTAGTGAGAAAGGGTTGACTCGAGTAAGACTGTCCCCCCAGTTGGGGGGTGATCCTGGTGATGGGGGCAGGAAGAGGTCTGACCGGCTTCGGGAGAGCCGGGGGTCTGGCCTGGGAAGTGTGGCAGAAGGACCCCCTCTTAGATGAGACCCTGCAGTGCAGAGAGAGAGGTCTGTGAACACTGCTGTCAGTATGTGATTACAGCTTCTCGAGGCCTCTGTATTCTACAGGAGGTAGTGGGACTAGAGCCAACTGCATGCTTTGGGAGGTGGAGGATCTAATTTTCAGGCTCCCTTTATTTCCTGCCTTCTTTCTTTCTCTCAGGCTCTACTATTACAACACTATCATCTTTGAGATGCCTCTTGCCCCACCCTTCTCAACTAATATATCTCAGCTCCCCGAGAGAATTCCTTGTGTTCTAAGGAGGAGGTCAGCTGGGTCAAGGTCATGCTCACTTACCCTGGTTGTATGTCAGCGGAGCCCTGATGACAGGGGCTGGCTCAGGCAGCTGCTCGAGGATCCATTCCAGGTGTTGGGTGATTTCAGTGAAGGGGGCACGGGCACTGGGTTCCATCTGGGTAGGACAGGGTAGCTTCACTAAGTGCTCCCAAACAAAGGTCCCTGAGTTTTCCTCCTTCCACCTGGGACTCGGGGCAGCTGCGTCAGCCCACAGTTAGGGGTGCAGGTAGAGTGGGAAGGGTAAGTGAGACTCTTACATTGCAGCAGTGGATGGCCAGGAGCAGGAAAGGCAGTGGGCAGTCATCTCCCACCAGGGTTCGGAAAGCTGGCACATCCAGACCAAAGTCCTAGGGGACAGCAGAGGGGAGAGGCCTGCAAGTTAGCCTTCCTTGGGCTCTTCGTTCACCCTTCCATCAGGACGCCCACCTCTAGGAACCCTCCTTGGTTATGAGCCACCCTGTATGGAGATCTCCTTCCTTGCCAAAGCAGACCCAGTCACCTCTGTACGGGGCAGGTAGTCAGGGTCTGCAGGTACTCGGGCGATGAGCTCACAGAGGACAATCCCAAAGGCAAAGACATCAGCCTGGGGTAAAAGACAAAGTCAACAAGAGGAGGTAAGCCACGTACCAGAAATATGGGGGAGTCTTGGCAGTTTTCATGCATTGGGTGTGGGATTTTAGAGTTTCCTGAATATGTGGCAGGGTTATTGAAGGGCTTAGGTTAGGCCACTGTGAGAATATTCCAAAAGTCTCTGGAAGGTTGTGATGATCTGGAGAGTTGGTGTCTCACCTTTTCGTCATACAGCTCACCCCGCAATACCTCTGGAGCCATCCAGTATGGGGAACCCACCACAGCCAGTGGCTCCTTCCTTGCCCCTTCCCTGCAGGAAGAGGGGCAGGGTGGTCAGAATTACCCTACTCAGGCATCTCCCCCAAACAAAAGATGAGATGAAGTCCTTCCCAACCCAAGAAAAACATCCCTGAGTGTCTAGCATTTTAGACGATTTACTTAGGTAGGGGTCCCCCAGGAAGTTTAAAGGGACAAGGATATTGACCTTACCTATACACAGGAATCTTTTCAGCCAGCCCAAAGTCACCCACAACAGCTGTGAAGCCTTGGTCTTCCCGTCGGACCAGACAGTTCTGAAGCAGAAATAGCATCCCCATCTACATATCTCACCTTCTTGCTTTTCTGGACTCACACACACAACCCTGCTATTCCTGTATAACCCTAAACCTATCTGATCTTCCGGTTCTTCGAAGTCCCCCAAATCTCTAATCTATCACTTAACCCCTTAAAGTGTCCCCAGCCCCGCAATATTCTTCAGTGTCTTGTCCAAACGCCTATATATATTCAAACATCTTAATGTATCTACTATTCACATTTTGACATCAATAGGTCAGTTACAACTTGTTATGTGCCGTTGAGTCGCTTGTGATTCATAGCGACCCTATGTACAACAGCCCTAAACTCTGCTCTGTCCTGTGCCAATCGCACTGTCTCTGACACTCCCATCCCAATTATCCCAGTCACTGAATCAATCCACCTCAGAGAGGGCCTTCCTCTCCTGCGCTGTCCCTCCACCCTCCCAAGCATGATGTCCTTCTCCAAGGACGGGTCTCTCCTCACAACATGTCCAAAGTATGTTAGAGCCTCAGAATCCTTGCTTCCAAGGAGCCACCCGGTTTAACCCTTTCCAGGACAAATCTATTTGTTTTCCTAGCAGTCCATGGTATTTACAACTTAACAGTCTCAAATTCCCTGCTTGCCTCCTCCCACCTGGCCAGCCTACCTTAGATGTCAAGTCTCGGTGGAATACACCTTTGGCATGAAGATACCGTAGGCCTCGGGCAATGTCCAGAGCCAGGTGGAGCCTGATAGGCCAGGACAGGGGCTCAGGGGAGCTGAGCAGCTGTTCCAGGGTTCCCCCATTCATGTACTAGTTCACAGAGGTAGAAGGGGAATGAATGTCAAAGCTTCAGTGCCTGCTCTAAGTCTCATTTATAAGCCAAGATAAATAAGGATCCCAGTCTGTGCTCTGAGGGTCCCCCATTCATGTTCTAGGACTGCCTTGTTCAGTCCAGCAGCCACTAGTCATGTTCTCAAACTCGTAAGTTGTCCAGAAGAGACTTTTCCTTTTCTTCTCCTTCAGAGAAGCTGATGAATTCGAACCTCCTCCCTTTGGGTCACCAGAGCTCCCTCCGCCTATTTACAGTATATCTAAATAACTAAAATTCAATAAAACCAAACAGTTCTTCAGACACATCAGCTACATTTCACATGTGGCTAATGGCTACTGTAATCAGACAACACAGAAAACACCTCCATCACTGCAGAAAGTTCTATCTGAAGTCACAGTTTCTGGGGATACAGGGCTAGCTAGACCTGTTGCTCAAGGGGAATTCAGGACCCCTTCTCCTGGAAGGTCTCCTTATCCCTCAGTAGTAGATCCACCTGTCCTGCAGACTCCTGCACCACTTAGAAAGGTGCCCCTTTCCTGCCCATCCTCACCTCTGTGAGAGCGTGCAGCTGCCCCTGGTGTACACAGACGCCCATAAACCTGGAAAAGGATTAGAAGAGAGGGGGATAGGCCGTCAGAGGTCTGGCCGTTCCCACTCTGCCTTTCACGGGGCAAGCAGCTGGGGCTTCGCTCACCTCAGGATGTTGGGATGACGGAGCCGGTTCATCAGCTGCACCTCGCGTAGCGTGTTTCCCCGGTTACTGGGGAGCCTGTTCATCTTCAGCACCATGACTTGCCCTGACTGTCGGTGTCGGACCTGGAGGGTGACAGGTTCAGGGATTCGTGGGCCACTGCCCCCTCGCTTTCGGGTACCCGGTTCCAGCTCCCCAAGCTGGCTGGGCCCCGCCCCTCTGCCCTCTCCTCGCGTCCTACCTTGTAGACCTCAGAGAAGAAGCCGGCCCCGATCTTCTCCGCGCAGTGGAAATCGTCCACACGCGCCAGGCTGGACACGGCGCTACGGAGAGCCCGGTAGGAGGAGGGACGGCCCCGGCCCGGGCCTCCGCCTGTGGCCCCCGGCCCTGGGGGGCCCTCCCCCGGCGCCTCGCCGGGCCCGGGCCCAGGGCCCCGCAGTGGGGGCCGTTCTCCTGCCATGGCCGGGGCCCAGCCCGGGCCTGCTTCACATGGCAGGGTCTCCAGGACCCAGGCAGGCCGCACTCGCCATGGGCTCGGGCCGAGCCCGATCCTAGGCGCCGGAGCTCGCGTTCCTGCTCCGAGAATGGACGATGGGGATCCCGGGCCCGCCCCCGCCGCGTTGTCTCGCCGGGCCCGGGAGGATGCTGCTCGGCTGGCTTCAGGGCCTGGGCCCAGGCTGGGCGGCGGTGGTGGCAGAGTGGGTCGGGGCGCCGGCGGGCAGGCGAGCTCCCCGCAGGCGGAGGCGGGCGGGAGGGTAGCGGCTGCTCGCAACGCCGCTGGGTTCAGGCTCCGCGGCCTGCCGGGGGGCGGGGCTGGGCCGAGCCTCCGCTTAACCCTTTCGAGCCCGGCCTCCCGCCAGCGGCCACGCCCCCCAGGGACACACCCCCAACCGGTGGTCGCCCGCCCGAGCCAGTGGGTGTGGGCGTTGGAGCCCGAAGGGCTGATGCGAATGAGGGGCCGACTGCTCGAGTGAGTGTCTTTTAGCTGCCCCGCGAGTCCGTCCTTCCTTCCTACTGTCCTCTGAAGGTCGGGGTCGGGAAAACTGTCCTGTGAATCAGCAGGACAGAAAAGTACACCCTTCAGGCTCCTCCACGATGAAGAGTGCCCAGCAAGCTGCACTTTCCCAGCCTCCCCCCATTTCCCAGGCCTTTCGGATTCTACAACCGCAACCTCTGGTCGCCCTGACCCCTCCGGACTTCTCCGGAGGGTGGGACTGCCCGGGATTACAGTGAGTCCTTGGCCGGCCCAGACCTTGCGTGGCTCTGCCTCCCCCTCCTCCTCACTCCATCCCTCCTGCCCCGAATAAAGTTGAGATTCCTGTCCTTCCAACTAGCGATCAGCCTGGACTTGCTCTCTATTTTGATCATCTCTCCGATGAAAGAAACCTCTACCTTTAGGGCACCTCCTTCTTCCTCGAGAACCCCACCCCTTAACAAGTCCCCGCCCCCTCAAAGAACCCTTGTCCTCGGAGACCCCTTTTTCAGTCTGACCCTGCCACCCTCACGATGAAACACACGCCCTCAGTGCGACAACCTCCGCTCAGCGTGTTCCTCCTCGCAGGCCGTGTGGACGCCCCGGAGTGACTCCATCAATCATTGTGACCCCTCCCCTCGAGCCGACTCCTCCCCTCAGTGTGGCACAGTCCTTAGCAGTGTGACACTTCTTAACAGGTTCCGCCCCTCATCCCGTAGGAATCCAGCCGGCCCTCTGAGCTGCAGTTGGCCCTTTAAGCCGGCGCCGGGTCGAGTGCGCACGCACTGGTTTGGGACTCAGCGCTCTTGCCGTACCTTACGCTTCCGGTTCTGTCGCCGCCTTTCCCAGCCTCACAGCGGGTCACCGCGAAGTAGCCAATCACCGCCAGGAGCTGCGTGACGTCACAAGACGGCTGCGGGTGGAGGCGTTGAGGAACGGCGAGCAGCCTGCCCTCTAGAGGCCAAATGAGGGGGCTGCCTCTTCAACTGAGACAAGCAGAAGGAAGCTTGATGGAGGAGCCAAGGCTTGATTTTTTTTTTTTAATTTTATTATTTTTGTGTGCGTGTACCGTCAAATCAGATCTGACTGGTACAGGAGGAGATTGTCCCTCCTTCCCCGGCAGAGCATCTGGTGGATTCGAACCATGCGCCTCTGGGATTGTAGTTGCAGCTCCTTGCCACTAGGCCACCAGAGCTCCCCGGCTTGATTGTTTTTAAGAATTTCAAACTAGGGTAGTTTTATTGCTGTGGTAAGATGCAGAAACTACTGTGATAGTAGATGACCGCCTCGTAAGGGTCAAAGATTCCCTTTGTTGACATGTAAGCTGAAAAGACCAGTTATCAGAAACTCAGTTTATGACAAAGTACAGTTAACCCCACCCCACCCGCTTGAGTGGTTTTTTTTAACAAACAACCCCCACCTGTGGTAAATCCCACCCTGATTGATCAACTGCCATGAAGTGGAATTCTTCTTCTCTGTAAGAGCACAAGGAGTTTTCCGCATTCCTGTATCTGAAGTAACCTATAAGATTCAAATACGTTTCCAGACTGTTACCCTGAGCTATAGCTAGCCAGTTGAAGGTGGACAAATACCCAAACTACTGTGGATGGCCAATCATGGCGTGTATGGTTGGGCAGGGGAGTAGCAGAGGTATAAAAGGAGGGGCAGACATCAATTCAGGGCTCTCGGCTGGATGCTGCTGTGTCAGCATGCGGGAGCGGGGTGGGGGTGGGGGGTTCGAGCTCGAAATAAACTTTGTTAATTCGGCTAATTGGCTCGGTGATCTTTTTGGGGACTTGCTCCGTTACATAAGCCATCCTGAAGACTGTAGTCTAAGCTTCATCAGTGATTCCGGACTTCATTTTTGCAAGCTAAGTTGTATATCGAAGGTTGTTGAATCTTCCTTCAATCTTGATGCCACGTTCAGCTTCATAGAGTTAATCCTCTGAGATCATTTGCTCACCATACAGACACAGTGAAAGGATCTAACCCTTTTTTTTAAATTTGACTCTTTTCTTAGTGAGACCCTCCCTTACAAGGAAACTTTGTTCAGTCTGACCCTGCCACCTTGAGGGTTAATCAGAAGTCCTCAGTAACTCCTCAGTGTGTTCCTTCTCACAAGCTGTGTGGCCAATCCTTTTTGGTGTCAAGCCTCATCTCCCTAAAAAATAAAATAATAAAATAAAATGAATAAAAATTAAAAATAAAATAATCCCTCATTGCTGTAGAGTCAGAACTGATTCATAGCTGACCCTCCAGCGGGTTTTCAGAGGTTGTAAGTCACATGGGAGGACATTGCCATGTTTCTTCCTAGAGCAGCTGGCGCTTTCAAACCACCAGAGAGGTGTTGCTTTTGGGTTAACAGCGCGACTCCCTACCTTCTAGGCCATGTACTGGACTGCTAACCCGGTTCAGATTCATTCCGCCGCTCAGCAGGAGAAAGATAGGAAATCTCTTTCAAAGATTTATAGGCCGAAACCTATTATTGTCTGTCTTGAGCTGGAATGGACTTGATGGCTATGGGTGGCTATTGCAAAAGAGCTTTGGTGATGCAAAAGTTAAAGCATTTGATTGCTAACTGAAAGGTCAGCCACCACCAGAGGCTCTGCGCAGTCAGCTTCTGTAGATTTCAGCCTTGGAAATCATGTAGGGCAGTTCTCTGGGTTGGAATCCATCCGATGACAATGGATTTGGTTATTGTGAAGAGAATAAAGATGGTCCAAAGTGATAAATGATGCTTTGGGGTCAAAAGAAGACCAGATGCTGACGATACAGTGATTAAAGGAATTTTCCACAATGGTTTGGAAAGGAAGCATTGGGAGAATAATATCCGCCCAGAGCTGAATTTCCCCCCACCCCTTGCTGCTAATCATTAAGTTTTTAATGGGCTATTACTTCAGAAGTGATAACAAGTCCAGTTTCTTGGTCTGTTTTAATCTGGAAGTTCTGCTAAAACCTGCCCACTGTAGATGGAGAGGAAGACCACCAATGAGATGGATTGACACAGTGGCTTCAGCAATGGGCTTGAGTGTCTCAGAGATGCTGAGGTTGGCACAGGATCATGTAGGGTGCAGGTTGGCTGTTCATAGGGTTGCTGCGACTCATAATAGCACCTAACAACAACAACAACATAGATGACTCTACTGGTATAGCTTCTAGCATCACAGAGCACACAAACCACCACAGTGAGACAAGCAGATGGGTGCTAACTCACTCAGAACTAAAAAATGGTTGCAGAAATACATTAAAAAGAATACTGTCGGAAGTTCAACCTAGATTCAAAAAAGGATACGGAAGGAGGGGTATCGTTGCTGATATCAGATGGAGCCTGATGCCAGATAAGTCTTAGTCAGAAGCAGAGACTACCAGAAAGAGGTTTACCTGCTTTATTGATTATGCAAAGGTATTTGACTTGTGTAGACCATACCATATTATGGATAACATTTCAAGGAATGAGAATTCTAGAACACTTAGTTGTGCTTGGGTCAAACTGCTACATAGGTCCAGAAGGAGTTAAAACAGAACAAAGATATATTGCATGCTTCAAAATCAGGACAGGTGTATGTTAAGGTTATATCCTTTCACTGTCCCTGTTTATGTGTATTTTGAGTAAATAATCTGAGAAGATGAACTGTATGAAGAGGAATGTAGCAACAAGATTGGAGGAAGACTCATTAACAACCTTTAGTATGTAATCTTGCTTACAGGAAATTACATCTTTAATTACTTACAGATGATGCTTAGAATGTAGTCTTCAAAATGGTTTACACCTTAACATAAAACAGAAATCCTCACAATTGGACCAATAAACAACATCATGATAAACAGAGAAAAGGTTGAAGTTGTTAAGGATTTACTTTTATTTGGATCTACACTCAGTGCCCATTGAAACAACAGTCAAAGAAGCTGGTGATGCATTGCACTGGCAAATCTGCCATCAAGGACCTCTTTCACTTTGAGGACTAGATTGTGGCTGATGGAAGCCAGGTACTTCACTTGCCTCCTGTGTAAAAGTTGGACAGTGAATTAATACTGAAGAAGAAGCAATGCCTTTGAATGTGGTGTTGGCAAAGCATCTTGAATATAATACAGACTGCCAAGAGAACAAACAAATCTGTCTTTGAAGAAACCAGAGTGTTCCTTAGAAAAAAGGACAGTGACTCATCTCACATGCTTAGGGCATATTGTATCAGAGGTCTGTCCTTGGAGAAGGAAATCATGCTTGGAAAAGTAGAAGATGAGCAATGGAGAGGAAAAGCATAAAGCAGATGAATTAACAGAATGAATTTAAAAATGGGTTTACTCACAGCAGATTGTGAGGATGGTGCAGGACTGGGCAGGGCTGCTCTCTCTTGTGCTAGGGTCACTGTGAGTTGGAATTGACAACATAATTGTGTGTTAGCTGCCGTTGATTCAGAGTATAGAATTGCACCATAGAATCTTCAGGTACTGAAGAGCAACAACATCAGCCTGGAGACTAAGGTGCGCCTGATTCAGGCCATAGTCTTTGCAATTGCTTGATGCATCAGAGAACTAGACAATGACTAGGGATGATAGAAAGAGGATTGATGCCTTTGAGCTGAGGTGCTGGAGAAGAGTGCTGACTATACCGTG